TATAGTGTCGAGTAATTGGCAGCCCCGCCAAGGTTAATGCACTATTAGCAGGAAGTTCTCGCGGCTAAAAGCCGGGAGAGGGGCCTGTCAGCGCAAGATGAAAGGCCCGCGTCCCTGAGGCTCGGTGGCCCGCGTGTGCGTGTGCACACGATGTGAGCACGCGAGAGGCTCTTGGCGCCTCCCTCCCCCTCATGTGGTACAGGACACACACACAGGCCTGCACGCGCTTGGGGTCACCTGCGGCGGGGCCCAGCGGGTGCGCAGACGCGGTGCCCAAGGTCCGGCCTGGGCCCTCGAGGCCCCGCCCACTGCAACCCCTTCTGGGTGCCAGCTGTCCCCGTAGCAAAGCTGTTCCCTCAGCTCTGCGCAGGTTGGGGTCTCGGGCTCCTAGCTGACCACTCTGTGGCTTCTGCATCTCAGGAATGGGGATGGATGGAAACTGGTGAGGCTGGACGCCTCGGGCTCATTAAAGGGGCGGCAGCGGGTGGGGATCGGGCGCGTTGTGGGTGGACCCAACAGGGCTGCATCCCGCTCACCGGCAGTCAGCAGGCGGGGCGGCTGTGCCTTCTTGGGGTTCCTGGGACCCTGCCCTCCGTGGGGGCTCAGCACCTAATCTTCCTTCTTCAGGGTTCTGAGCTGCCACCCCCCTCCATGACGTCCTGGTCCCAGGCAGGTGTGGCTGTCCAGGTGTACCCAGAGCCACACTGCCCAATATAGTAGCCATGTGTGGCTGTGCCCGTTTACATTAAAAGTGAACCGTGAAACCGTGCTGCTGCTGGTCACTCCGGCCACACTCCACCTGCCTTGTAGACACAGGAGCTGGGGGCACCTGTGTGGGGCGCTGCAGGTCCTGAACATGTCCATCCCAGGACGTCTAGCCCCAGACTGGCAGGTGGTCGCAGTGGAAGTCTGGGGTCTGTCCAGCCTTGGTGCTGGGAGGGTCGGAAGGAAAGTGGGAGGGGAGGAGGAGGGCAGGGAGGGAACCAGCAGGGACGAGGGGCCTGTTCAGTGTGGCCGTGGCCTTGGCAGCTGCGGGAATTGGGCTAAGCCAGACATGAGGATGGGAATTTTTATCAGCAAGACAAAGGAAGAGGCTTTTATTTCCTTTGATGAAAACCAACAGCCTGGGAGGTTCTCCTTGACCCCTCACCCCAAGTGCAGGGTGGGCCGGTCCCGCTCTGACCAGGGGCAGTGGAGTCCCCGGCAGCCGAGGCCCCATGCTCCTCGCCACCCCTTCCCGCCAACCCTCACCTGGCCGGCCCGTGGTGTCTGAAAACTGCCAGAGCAGGCGGCGGATTTGGTTCCGTTTGTTCTGTGATGAGTTTCTCCCCACGTATTTTTAGCTGTCTCCACGGCTCTGTGGCCTTTGAAGGCCGAGGGCGTGCCGGACATTGATCTCCAGTCTTGGGGATTTGTCCTGCGGGACCGGTGGCAGGGGTAATGGGTGCTGGGGTCAGGGAGCAATGGGTGCTGGGCAGGAGTGCTGAGCACAGGCTAGGGGCCAGGTCAGGGCCTGGCTGGGACAAGACCCTCCCTGGGCCTGGTAGATCTTTGAGGCCTGAACCCAAGACTCATCCCTGTACCCAGACTGGGCCTGATGTCTGGCTCTTAGCTTCAGAGGAAGCTTGCTCCAGAATGACCTCTGACCCCAGCTGAGCTCCTGCTGAGGCTGGAGGCTGGGATGCCCCCGGCTCTGGGAGGGGACAAGACCTCTTGGGTGCCCACAGCGGGCTGTGGCCAGGCAGCTGCTTTGTGCTCCCACCCCCACTTTGCCCGGGGGCAAGGCCTCGCAGGGGCCCAGCCCTCCCCTCCCCGTCCTCTGCTCCGGGCACATGCCTTTGTTCCTGTCCCTGCTCCCGCTCTGACCTTGAGAGAGACAGAAACAGAAGGAAAACGAGCTTCTGCTCAAATCCGCTCGCGGTGGCGGCTCTCACAGCGGTGGCCCCTGCATGCAAATGAGCCGACCCACCACCGGCCTTTGCCAAGGAGGTCCCCTCTGCTTGGTGTGCCCTTCGCACTCTGTACGGGGGTCCGCTCCTGCTGGGTGTGGCAGAGGAGTCCCTGCCCCATCCGTGAGGTCCCATCCAGCAGGAAGGGTCTTGTCCAAGGGCAGAGGGAGCTCCTGGAAGGGCCTCCTTGGCCAGGCAGGACTCCAGGTTGGCTGGGCAAGCCGGCACCCCCAGGGCCTTGGGTCCAGCCATCAGGCCTCTGCTCAGGAGGAGGCTGGTCCTCTGTTCCTAAAGAGCTAGACAGCCCACCCAGGGGCATCCAGGATGTTGGGTGACTGGTGCCCCCGGCCACCTCCGTGCCTCCAGGGCCTGCCCTGACCACCACCTGTCGTCAGGCTCCCACCTCTTCCGTGGGGCCATGGGGCCAGCTCTGGGACAGCCACATGCAGACAGCTCAGAGGACAGGACCCAGAAACCGGAACACCCAGGACAGACAGGCTGGGCTGCCCCAGGGGCTGTCCTGCGGGGTTCGGGGCACAGGACGGCACAGGCCTTGAAGGACAAAAAGAATTTTAACGGGAAGCACTCCAGGCCGGCTAGTGCGGCTGGCAGGGAAGTAGCTCAGGGTACATGTGGCACACGCCCGCCACGTAGTGTGGCTGGAGTAGGCCCACCTGGCATCCTCGCCGTGCCTGGTGGAAGGCTGGTTCGCTGATCTTGGGCCTCTAACAGTTCGCTTTGATTATCTGTCACATGAGACCTCCCAGAGCCCTTGGCTCCCAGACCCTGCGCCCGGCCTGGGGGACACAGAAACACCCGGAGAGGCGGAGCCAGGCTGGGCACCACTGGCATTTTCCAGCCAGCACTTGGTGACAGTGTACCTCTTCACACGCCCAGTCAGAGGGAGGCTGTGGCACGACTCAGGACAGATCTAGAGATAAGGCCTCAGCTCCTTGCGGGCATCAGCCCCTGGGAGCGGTCGCTCTGAGCCCCTACACGGCTCAGGGACTCCACGCCTTTGCTGGAGCTGCTGCACCCACCTGAGCCCCCGTCCAGGCCTCCTCCCCGACAGGACCTTTCCTGCGTGCGCACTTAGGTGCTGAAGGTGCTGGGTGAGAAAACGGGTCCAGAGCAACGTGGCTGCCCCCGGGGCGGAGCAGCGGGCGGTGGTGGCCTTCGGTTCAGTCCACTGCCAAACTCCCTGCCCGGCGCAGTGAGGCTGGGAGTTGGCCCCGCCTGGCTTAGGATGCGGGGTCTGGGTTTGAATACGGGGGTGAGGTGGGCGGGGTGTGGGGGGATCTTCATCTCTACGCCTCCAGCTCCTCGCACTGGCCAGGCGCTGCAGACGGGCTTGGTGGCCTCAATGGAGGTGACCTAGAGGACCTCAGGGACCCTGGGTCAGGGCCGCGTGACGATGATGGGAGTCGCAGGGCCGGGACCCTGGCGATTCGGGCCGCCGGACCTGGGATGCTTCGGGTCGGGGGTGCGGGGCCCGGTTGGTGCGGGAGCCCTTGCCCTCTCCCGCGTGGCCGGGGCACGGCAGGAGGGGGCGCCCGCGGCCCTC